TATTCTACGCGTAAAAAAGCATTAGCACAAGTAATTTTTTTCTTAAAAGAAATTTCCAAAAAAAACAGATACCGAGGATTTCACAAAACACAAGTACGAAGGCATTCTCACACATAAAGCATTCGAGAGAGCGGGAATTACGTTTGGGGGATTTGAGAGAGGAACGAGACAGCAGGAATGAGGAAAGAGATCAGTCCAAGAAGGTGGGAGGTGGAGGATGTTGAGACTAAAAGATATCAATTCCCTGCTTATTTATCTCAACGCCGGTACTCTAACAAAACAAAAATTTTATATAAAAATAGGAAACAGAGATGTCTGCAGTTGTGCGCGGCAAAGTTTAATGGGGGGGGGGGGTAGAAAAAGGAAACCGATGTATTTCTTCCTCAGTAAAGTATACTACTGATTTCGATTTCAGTGACATTTTCATTGACTTAGATAAAGGCACTGTGGGTAAGTCTGATTATGTATTCAAAGCTTAAAGAGACCGGCATGTTGTTCTTTGAAAAGAACGAGTGGAGAAAAGGACTGTTGAGAGGAGAAAGTACATCTTGTTTTCCTTTTGTCTTAAAGATATGAGATGATAAAGATTAAAGTTATTAACAGGAGGGGTTGGTGGACTGGTTATCAGATCTTTGGCTTTGCACCCGACCATTTGTTGTCCCATTGCTACTCGGTGGAGGCGATTGGATACACATGACCGGCGAACTACCTGATTCTGGACACCGTTGGGAGAGACGTGAACCGGTTTCGCCATTTCGTAAAAATAGTGAATGATAGTCGCGGATGTGTTGCTTTCGTGGGCACTTCACGGCCAACTGAAAGGCAATGAGAGGTCGAGAATCAGCTGGAATTAAGAACTCCAAGAAGTAACCCTGGAATCGTTTAAAAGGCAAACTTACAAAGTAAATGAGGTAGATCATGGCGATAACAGTCGTTATGATAGCCGTAATGAAGAAGCTCAAACGAATGGGATCCGATTTCAGCCAGTTCCAGAGACTGGGTATTGACTCATTTGGTAACTTAGTGAAGTCCGATTTGTACGTATAATTTCCATAAAGATCGACACCTCCACCAACAAATGACCATGATGTGCAAGTGACTGAAGGAAAGGAGAACGCTTATTATTGGTGGGTTAAGGTAGGCCGACTTCAATTTCTTTGACTCATGTAAAGTGGCTTCTCATTGAATACAAAAATGAAAATATAAATGAACTTCAAAGCATCTTAGTTTACTCTGTCAATTACAACTGCTCAAAAGGACAAAATGGGCATTTCTAAGGACGAGAAGTCAATTTTATTCTAACTGTCGGACCCAAAAGGGATGGTGGCAAGATGGTTTATCGGCATCAACGGTTTTTTTACATACCTCTTCCACAGTGATCTGCTTATGACTCATCATGCTGCATGAAAGTTTCTTGCAGGCATTTCCCTTTATCAAATACCTATTTGTAATGATTACCGAGTCACTGATTACGAGGCTGACGCCGTCTTCTGCACCAGCGCTCTCACATATTGTGGCCAAGCAGTTCCTAAAGCTAGGGCGGAGACGGTGACGTAGTAAGTTACTCTCTTCTAAGATAAAGTCATGTGACAAGTAATTTAATTAATTTGTGTATTATTGTCTGCAGCAAAAAGTACTCGTACTTGAATTTATTAATTCCTCCGCAGACCCACCCTCACCCTCACCCTCACCCCACATATTCTTAAAAATTATGAATACGTATTAGAGTTGGTGCGCAACTGAGGTGGATGGAACAACCCATCACAACGGTTAAGAGTAATGGAAATGGTCTGTATTTCCCACAGGAGCTACCCAGAAAAGTGCTCTAATTCGATTTTTTCCATTAGGCCAATACTACTATATTCGAGTATAGTAAATGAGTGTTATCTTAGATTTACAATTAGGAATGCGAATTTCGAGAAAGAAGATTGGAAGAGTTGCATAGCTAGGAATGGGAGAGAGAGAGAGGCAGAAGGAAAGCGAACAGTAGCATTAAGGTGTACATCGAATGCCGCTCAAAAAGAGAACCAGTAATCGGACAGGTGAAACGTGGTACCCTCTCCCCTTAAAAAGACCACCTTAGTCGCCTCTCCGTGCCCTGATTTATTCCCTTCCCAACCCCCATGTCTTCCCTAAGTCAACCTTACTTCATTCCCCTCCAAGCCCCCATACCCCCTCCCCTCTCTCAGCATACACAATCGCCTCGATCTTTACTTAACCTCCTCCTCCCCCCCCCCCCCCCCCCCCCTCCCCCACCTATACCCACCCTTGGCGCGTACAAACGCACAAATTAGTCAACGTCCCATTTACGAAAAGTTCTACCAACTAAGGGAGGGCAACTACGAAACGAAGTACAATAAATCATGAAACACATGGGTCCTAGAGGATTTTGATTGCACTGAAATGGGGCTTATTTAGAAACACATATATATAGAAACTTAAAATGCGATAAAAGCCTATGGTTTTCTCAAATCTTACGTTGGCTCATTGAAATCAATGAGGGCGCAATAGACGCAGACCCCATTTCCATTTATAATCCGATTTTTAATCAAATTGTCGCTCACCTGTCAGTTAGTTGTTTAATTAGTGAAGAAAATTGCGCTACAATTCAGTCTGCTCCCAATTTCTAGGCCTCCATGTCGGGTGAAATTTGGCTTTCGTAATGACCCGATACAATTTACTAATAATCATAATCAAGCTTCCTTTAATTCGGTTTGCAAACAACATCGGCATACGCAAATCGGGTGCTCATTCATTACCATTCACTAAAAGTATTTCAAATGTCTAAATCTCAAATGATTAAATTCTTTTTAAACCAAGTGCAAAATGGTCGGTTTATTTTTACTCCAACAAATCATCCATAAGCCATCAAACCTTGCCTTTAATTTCGCAATATCAGGTTCGAGCATGCCAATGGAACTAAGACGGTCACTGAGCGTGGCGAGTATCGGCGATATGGGCTGACGCCTTGACGACAAGGCAATTACCAGGGCAATAGAAAATTTTGTCAAAAAAATCGATTGATTGGTCCTTACAACAATAACTCAATTCATGATGAATTGATTGCAACGAATGAATGCTTCTTTCTATATTTGCAATAAGATCTGTGAGTTAGACAAAAGGTAAGGAATACAATCTACCTTCAATACGTTTATTAAACTACTCGACGTAGTCAAGGTTTCGTTTGAAAAAAGAAGTAATAATTGAACACTCATTATAAAGAGGGATATTTTAGTGTTTGTTTTTCATAAAAATATAAGACAGTAGAAAAATGAAATACACTGTTGCAATACTAGGTTTCTAAGCTTGATAAATGTGAACTCAATTAGTGGTATACTCCCTCTCCTACAGATGTTACCAAATTAGCCAAGGTGATATGGGTTGAATTCCCCATAATGAGAGCCAATAAAGCACCCCCCCCCCTACAATGTTATCCCTTATTTATTGCAGCATCTTGGTGCCTTAGTGGTTAATTAGACAAGAATCAAGGCTACCTTGGAGGTATACACACACACACACACACACACACACACACACACACACACACACACACACACACACACACACGCACAAATAGCAGTACCGACTTCATTTCAACTCTTCCCCGCACCCGCACAAACACACACGCTCTCACTAAGAGAGGGAGGGAGAGAGAGATAGAGAAAGGAGACAGTTACACGACCACGGTCCAGTTAGCGGTCATGGGACACACGAGCTACTGCAGTGGTGCCATAAGTATTCTGTGTTTGTCCGTGCACGCAACCATTGTGTTTATCTTAACTACCGTGCCCATGCGCAGCAAAGCAGCCACACATACGAGAGAGAGAGAGCAAAATCCAAGACACCCAATTCCACCTTCTAGTGGGCAGGAGGTAAGCGTGTTTATTCACACACGCACACACACACATGTGGACACTGGCTATACACAAGGAGAGTCAAATCTTCGTTGTGTGAAAGCACTTGTGTAAGTGGCTTAGCTTTACATGCTCCTACAACGTACTGTATGCCAATGCTGACAAAATTTATGTGCTCGGCTGTATTTTGTTGGTATTCAGTAGTACAAATTTGTTTGGTATTGGGCAAGACTATTTTTTCGTCGCGTTTACAAGGCATTGATTAGCTTTAAGAGCTAATCATGGTAACGGGTCCTTCGCACAGAGTTTAAAATTAGAGCCGAGTTTGAATTTTTAGTTCCCCCTTGTGTGCATGCAATCTGTAGCCCCAGTCCCATTGAATTACTATATATTGCAGCAGAAATTGTTTTGGCTAGGCTAATTATAACACAAAGTTGCAAGAGAGTTAAAGTTAAAATGCACATCCGAAATCCGAAATTCGAAGACTATTCGAACTCAACATACAAATAAGTGCATGCGTAACTCACGCTCATTAGGAAGGCAGAAGAAGCAGTCTTTAGGTGGTTCAACTTCCAAAAGTCGACCGGCATGACAGCATGGTATGCAAGGTCCTGAGAATGTATCAAATTCGAATGCTTCATTGGATTGCATAAATCTAGGGAATTGAGGTATTGATAGGCATGCTGGGGAGGGTTTTAAATTGCTGTCAACTATTCGATGACATTCGAGACAGTCAGTGGGATTGGGACCTCGGCATCGTGCGCATGAAGAATGGCACGGCATGCATCGCTAAAGGAACAATATAATTATTTCTTCGAAAGTGGAAAGATAGGAAGCCGACGGGAAAGTCACCTACTTTATCGTTTTCGTCAAAATATGTCATCAGAGGACAGGAGTGCTCGGCCTCACACTTTCCATCGGTTTTGCTCAATGTGTAGCCTTCATTGCATGAGGTGCATCTGCCAGGGCCTAGGATACAAAATAGCAAGTTAAGTAAAATTAAATGTCTACTGTCAATTATTAAGTAGCTAATAATCCTACCAGAACAGGATTTGCAAAGTGGAGGACAGGGAATGCATATTTCATATTCGCCTATTTGAAGAGGGTAGGAAGTAACAGGGCAGACATTTACACAGCCATAACCGCTAATATTTGTACTTGCATAGGGCATCATGTGGTTGATCTCACGTTCCCCAAAAGCTAAATAAGTGGCAGCAGGACATTGAAGACAGGAGTCTGAATCCTCCGCACATGTTAAACAGGAATGATGACAGGTCCATGAGCAGTTCGGACCGAGAGTTCTATTTAAAAGTAAAAAGATTAAGAGAGCTAAAATGATAGTTCCTTGGGTTGGAATAACTTTAAGGTAGATTGGGCTAGAGAAGTCAAAGCTTCCCATGGAAATAATTCATGATCATATCTTTAAACAGCCTTAATTGCAATGTACTTCTCAATAAAACATTTTAATATAATGCTGAAATAGATGAAGTCACTTTAACTACAGATATTATCAAAAAATCAATATCAATACTTCTCGTTAGTGCTCAATCAATTCCAGAATTTGCATGGGTTGTCAGAGAGACACCTGAACAGTCGAATAAGGAATGAAATTGGAGATGAAATCAAGAAGAAAAGTACAAGGTAGAAAATGTGCAAAAAATTTTGACTTGGAAATCATTTTCAAAACATTCAAAGTCGGATAACCGATTAATTTAATTCCGCGGTTGGTCAGACCACACTGATTTATCTCTACCTTGTTACAATGAGGAACAAAGTTATCGTAATTTTCGGTGTGTTTACGGACGTTTTTAGCCTGCTTTGAGGGGCATTTGCAAATTATTGATCAGAACTTATTTTTTAGAGGGTGACATATATTTCCAGGCCCAATTATCCCGCATTTGATTGGTAAAAAACCGAATTCCCCGTACGTGATAGTTTGCTTAATTAAATGTTCAAGAGTTTCGAACTTTCACTTATCTCGAAGTGAAGTCGATTTTGGATTTGGCCAATTTCGGTCTTGTTTTCTATCGACTCAACTATTTTGTCAATGTTGCTCGCTTTGCAATTTTAAAATACCCTTCGAAGATTGAATAGGATTGTGTTGAATGCAGGAATTAGAGATAACTCATAGTCGTGGCTTTTCAACAAATTGAGCATGAATATAGATTGAACTCTGGTGGACTTCGATTTTCCTTAACCCATTGAGAAACCCTTTCATAAGTAGTGTAGTGGATTGCTACACTTTTCTTATCGCTGCGTGACTGAATACACGTGTTCCGTGCTATACGTCTGTTTCCTTTATAGCTGGGGTATAGCTTAGCTAATTCTGGGAGTCTAGCTAGATTTTGAAGAACCTGACACAGAGATTTCTGAGTCCGTCAAGCTTTACTAGTGTAGCGACACGCTACAGTAGTCTTTGGAATTATTAGTATTTTTTGTAGACACTTTTATAATATAATATCTATTTAACATGTGTTCGTCTCTGTAATAGAAACCACATGTACAAGCCATATTACTGGCCAATACAATTGAATGAGAGACACAAACTGATAAAATAGGAGAGTTCTTCAAAATGCGGAAATAACGCAAGTGAACCTCAATTAGAGGTACTGAAATCGCGATCTTTCATAGCCAATAAAGCGGAAATACCTACCAATTGTCCATAACATCACGAGTTAAGGAGTGCTTTAAAACCTATATGGAAATTAGATTAATGACAAGAATAGAGAGATCTTAATTGTTTTAGCGAAAAACAAAACAAAGAGGAAAGATTGTTAAGAAAAAAAAGAAAACAAGAAAAGACATTCAACCTTTTTCCACACAGGTGGGCGAGTCAAACTGACACACAATAAGGAGTTGATATTCGTGTGCAAGAGTTTTCTCAACGAATTAAATATTCCCTCTTCAAGTTACTCAACCAGATTTGCGTCTGCAACAAATCTTGGCAAAACCTATTTGATTCCAATGACGAAATTGATCATTAAATGTATAATTTAATACCAGCATTCCTGTTAAAACAACTCCAGAGTACTAGGAATTAAAGCCAACTCAATTTTGTTAAGAGTAATTAGTAATTGACCAAAGTATCGAAAAACGAGACATTTTTGAGTCTCATGGAAAAGAAATTTTTTTCAAAGAAAATTACTGTCATAACTTTAAAAAATGATGGAAAAAGAACCCCACAAGACGATTTATCGGGTTGATAGACCGGTATAAATATATTAAAAACAGCAGTTCGAGACGAATTAAATGATCAGAGACGAATACTCAACTGCACCGCAAATTTGGACTATTTATTCCAGACAATCACTCATTATTGCATCATGGTACTATTTGCATGTTTTAAATGGGTATATTTGTCGGAGAGAGAGTAATTTAAGCACATCTAGTAGTTGGCATAAAATAAATCCGAAAAATATTACCCAATCGGACAGGGAGAAGTGCAGAGCCCCGAGTCGGAATGGAGAATGAGATCATCATGGCATGTATCACAGCGAGGTACTGCAAAACCTTGAGCTTGCTCAGACGACGCGGTGCAATTTGCACAACCCGGCGGGCATGGTGCACAAACCCAGACACTTCCACCCTTGTCAGACGAGTGGTAGAGACCGTCTTTTGTCAATCGGAAGGCCGGGTAGAAACCGAAAGGACAGGACTTCTTACAATGGCCATCAATCATGTATCTATTGAAATGTAAAAAAGATACTACGATATTTCAAGTATTGTGCTAATTTAATTCATTCAATATATTAGTGGGAAATAGAGCATAGGGAAGAGCCAGATGTGCTTCAGTTATTAAATTGATGCTATTTCAATTAATAAAGGCGATAAAATATGTTAAGAAGTAAAAATTTCGTTGTTAATGTGTGACATCAACTGGAAACTGTTGGTGACAATTTTAAAAAAAGAAATAGACGAGCAGCTACCTACTAGGCTGAAATATGTTATACAAAACATTGAAAAATAGAAAATTAAAAAATTAAGTAGTTGAAATTTTGTGGGAATTCAGCGTTGGGGAAACATAGGAAAATTTTTCCATGATAAAACTATCACCCAAATATACAAAGAAGCATGATAAACATGGTACCAACGCACTATAGCGTGATGCCAAAGCGTTAGGGTGTTAGTTCAATTACGACTTTATTCCAAATTCGCGGAATACGCATACTTATATAACTTTAGAAGCTTGGTCCACAAAATGCCGGTTCTATACGAAGGAGAGTTGTTAATTTCACTAAAAGACATCCATGCATTTTAATCTTCAAAAAGATAAACAAAATTATCGACAAAGTAATAAGTTATAAGACCAGATGCTGCAGTTCACTGTGCCATCTAATCCGTTCGAAGGATAAATGAACAGAAAAAATTTTAGTCAGGTATTGGACATGAATTTACTGTATTCAATGCAAGAATCCTGGAATGTGAACTGATTCAATTAATATTAAACAGCTCGAATTCCAGATCGAATTTACTACGACCCTTTGAAACCTCGAAATTCCTGTCGGCACATTTAACACTATCCACCCCCCTTTATAATTCGCAGGAATTCCTAATAGTACACTGTGTTTGATTTTCACAAATAAATGTTTAACTTCTTGCATCACTGTTCGTAATGATAATGGATTGTTGTTTAAGGTCATTAAGTCATGATAACCACTAACCCCTAGGGAGTAAAGAAACAGAAAGTGAATGTGATTTGAGGTATAGATAAAATTCAATTTTTCTTAAAATCAATAAAGATCTGATCATTTAATTTCTTAATCTACATGTACAACGATTCATAAGTGATGTTCAAAAGTGCTAACTGCATAATTGGAGTTTCTAAAGTTCGCATGTCACTTGACCCAATACGCCTGATCAAATGGCAATAACTAATTAAGCAGCTGAGATAAACTCGTTTGAACTTTACGAGAACTTAGGACGGTCGAACTAGGTCGCATTAAAAGCATAATGAGAAACAAAAAATACACAAAGAACCGGCAAAAAATGCGCAATCATAACAATCACGCTGCTGAGCATATCTGATTATTCCTTTATGCAAATATTAACTTTTTCCTGAATTAATTTGAAAATCGACTTAAGTAAAAACCCAATTACAACAAACACAAGTGACGGCAACTCCTCTAAAAATTGTTTTTTCATGAGGTCAGGTCAAAATTCGATATTTAACTCCGAAGTGCCTAGACCCAAGCGCATGACTTGTGCACATCTTTATTCTCGGAAAGTTACGAGTTATGGGGTGTGCGATAGACTTACCTCTACGTGGTGCACTCGGACAACGTATACTCATACGGCAAAAAGTCTATCAAACCAGCAGTTGACTTCTAACTTCTAACTACAATGACCCTACTGTACACTATACTTGGCCACTTCCACCTTTTCTCTACCTTTGTGTCTGTCTGTCTCTTTTACATCAGTGAATCGCTCTTCTGTTCCCCACTCCTCGACTTCTTCTCCCTTTGATGTTCCTCCTCCTATCAGTGAATCCCGAAGTCAACTTAAGGGCTAATGATAGATATCAAAACGCCTGCCATTTGAAATAAATAAATAAGTTATGAATTATTGGATAATGACTAAATAATTTGCAGCTAATAAGTGCAAAGATTAGAAGAAGTAAAATAGTGCTGATAGTTACTCCTTCAATTAAGTAATTTTTTTCAATAAAAAATTTGAGAGAAACCCCACCTTAGCCTGTCACCAGTGTGGATTGGATAAACGATCAAATCGAAAGCTATTCGTATTCGGCTGAATGGAAAAGGAGAACATGCTTAATATCCAAGAGGACGACCACGAGAATATTTCTACCAACACCTTTAAGCAACCTACTAACGAAATGTTCCGAAAAAAATCCGGGGAGCGAATAAAACTCCCTCGATCCCAGGTATAGTTTGTGTCTGTAATGATAACTCATATTTGTTTATGCGCCGACTAGGCACCTGCCATTTTTTTTCTTAAACATTTAACACGTTGTAGGCTACTCATTTAGAAGTCATTAATCTGTCTGACAACTCCTCCGCGTTGAACGCCTCAACACGGGATGCAGTGAATTAATTGGTGTGATAAAAAGCGCTTCACGAGCAATATTGTAAAAAATATCACCGAAAATAAACTCAATTCCAAAATTTATAAAAGGAGTTTTTTTAATAAATACTATTACTAATTCAAGCATTTCTCCTCCAAATAACGTCAAATATCATGCTGTAATATTACTATATGATATTTTACTGTGATGGTAGTGAAGTTGCCAAAGTGTGGTGAAGGTCATGAGATCAACTCACATCAGTGTAACCAATTGGTGAGTATAGATAACTGAATAGACTATTCTCGTCAAAAAGAAGACTGACTGAATGCCTATTTCAATGAACAAGGCCTTCAGGATAACCTCTCCTTCTATTCGAGTTGTACTTTGTAAAAAACAAACCACAAAATGCTTAACGAGTTTATACTATAAAAAGTAAACAAGAATGTCAACAAACAAAGGATGTGAAATGGAGCACCTCACTTCGTCTCTTCCTAACTATCCGGATTGTCTTCACTTAGTGTTGTTAAACCTCCCCCCCACACCTCCTTCCTCCCTTCGTCATTAATTTCCACTTGTCCAATTCAACTCATGGTCTTTCTTTCAATAAAGGTCTATATATCCCAGTAACTCTAAGAAGATCAAGGGTTTTAGGGGGGAGGGGGTAAGTTTAGCCACAGGTTGGGTATGACGGGATTCACCAGCTCCTATGACTTTGTTACAGAAATTAATCTTCCAACGAAAGTGTTATCAAGTAACCACGAATGCATCCATATTGGATGCCTATTGAGTCATATTTGCACTACCCAAATTAAGAAGCCATTTTTGCTGAGATATCCTTCTACGGAAAAGCAAACAACCACTCACCGGTTTTCTTCATCACAGTATGTACAAAGTCCGTACTCAGAACAAGAATCGATATCACAGCCTTCGTCACATGGATAGCAAGCATCGTCGCGTAGGAAGCTACCTAGAATGGAAAACACAATTGGAGAACAAGTGATGTTTGTGCATAAACCCGAAATTGGGGGGGGGGGGGGGGGGGGAGGGGGATTGAACAGTCCATATAGTTTATACCCTTTTGAATTCAGATAAACAAAAACATCCGGTAACCATTCATCTACTTTGAAAGGAAGTGAACAGTTTGACATAGCTTTTAAATATAACTTCGCAAAAAACAATTATTTATAAAATAGCAATATTTGAAAACGATGCATTTTCAGTATTTTCTACAAATTAGTTATAGATATGAAGCACTAGCTATTACGAACTTCCTGAAGTGTACCACGATGACATAGGTGAAAGACAGAGATGGTGATGGAATTCTTATTCATGATTTAACAAAGAAAAGGCCTTAGCTTGAAGATTGGTTGGATGGGGAGGGGGTGTAAGTTAAGGTCAGTATTGTATATAGCTGAATACTTAGTTGGCCAAAAGGTAGATTAATCAGTAAGCAATTTAAAATTACTTTTAAAAAATATAACTTGAATCAATGAAAATCGAGATGCGGTTTCAGTTAATCAACTAATTATCGCTAATACAAATACTTCAAATTTTTCCAACAAAAGGTTCATTCAAATGCGCCAATATTAAAGACCATTGGGCACGATTGTAACAAATAAAGGATTAACGAAATAAAATATTCGGTATTTTTAATCTTTGAGGCTAAATACAGTAAGTCAAAAATGTGGTCAAAAGGGTGTAAACCAACGTCTAGATCACTAGTTCAAACAGCTATTTTATTGGACCTCAATTCATAAACTTTGAAGCATTCAAATGCCAAAGTAAGCCTCTACTCTGGAAGCTTAATGTAAGTTTGGAAAAGAGATAGGGCGATATCTGGTTCTTGATTTGCGAAATATTCAAAAAAAAGATACTTCAGAGTAATAAAATATTAGCAAAAGGAATTAAATATTTCCAGTGCACCTCAGTTCTCGTGCTCGGTTAATCAATTTGTGATTTGATACTACCCACATAAACACTTATTTAAACAAAAAAATGAGGTGAAAACGTCGCATTGGCAAACGATTATTTTCCCTTTAATCATTTGGTTGTGACCGAGATAAAACCAAGATCAAACGTGCTTTACGAAATGTTACTTTCGCAAAATAATTCAACAATTTATAATCTACCCTCTTTGCATTGCAGAGCTAAGGATCCTTCGAAACATTTCAAAAGTGTTCAAGCAGAAAGATGTCCTTTGAATGGCAGATAAATATCGATTTGTCTAAAATTTCATCTGATCAGCACCAAACAAAGAGTGAGGTTCTTGAAATATTTTTTGATATAGCTATTCTATACTGTTTGGCACTATAGCTTTCTATTCAGGTTTTGGCACATTAACTACTAGAGATGGAGAGTAAAATAGCCCTGATTTTGGATGCAAAATTTGCACAAAAAACGATGACTCTTATTGCTGGATTCTTTGATGGAGAGAATTCTTAAACTAAAACCGCGTCATTGAGAAGAAAAAAATAACTAAATTAGCCAGTGGGTTTAAGGCTTCCAAGAGAGAAATAAGGGAAATAAAATTCGATTCAAGATAAAGCGAAAATTGAATCAGATAGCAAAGTAGGTGATAATAAAGCAATTTCCAATCCTAATGACGTTGAGAAGGAAAATAGAAGTACGATTTTCAACGTAAGTATGTTCAAGTTTAGAAAATATTGCACAATTACATTTGAAGCCCAATTGGTTTTTCCCTATTTTCTCGGGGGGTGTGATAGACTTAGCTCCACGTGGTTAACCCTGGGCAACGTAGTCTCATACGGTGAAAAAAGTCTATCAACTGGCAGTTGACTTCTGACCTCAAACTATCATGACCTCACTGTCCATCATATTCGTCCACTTCCCCAGAACTCATTTGAAATAAATAAATAACTTCACATTTTTCTGTTGGAAATCTGATATTTGAGATCTTCTTTCATCTATTACTAAGTAAACTCTTTCTGGGGGTGTGCGATAGACTTACCTCCACGTGGTGCACCCTGGGCAACGTATACTCATACGGCAAAAAAGGCTCTAAACCGGCAGTTGACTTCTGACTTCAAAATACCATGGCACGACTGCTTGTCATATTCGACCGCTTCCACAGTACTCATCTTACCTTCTTCTCTGCCTTTGTGTCTGTCTGCCTCTTTTACATCTGTGAATCGCTCTTCTGTTTCCCACCCCTCGACTTTCTGCTACTTTTATGAACCTTCCCTCTGTGAAGCCCGAAGTCAATTAAAGGGCTAATGATAGCTATCAAAACACCTGCCATTTAAAATAAATAAAGTAAACTCTTTCTGCATTGAAAAGAAAATTTCTAGGAACTATTTTGGCCGTAAACTATCAAGCCTACAAATCCTGAAACACTTTTAATGAAATCGGGAGTTAATTAAAAAATTATTGCAACCAAAAATATTAGTCTCTGTCTTCAAACTAGGCTATTCTATTTTGCGTTGAGGATAATTTCGTAGGAAATATTCAAAAACATGTACTGGCGCAGATTCTATAATACAATGCTGGGATATGCATAAATGTTCAGTTTTAAAATCACATGGAAATTTAGGTGTTTTTTAACTAAATGAACGCAGGCGAAAAAATGGCCTGGAAAATTTGTTTGCCACCATGCATTAAACAGAGTCCTAACTGAGCACAGAGTGAGGACATATATCAAAGTAAAAAGACCCCTGGAATATATTCTACCGAAATCCACTTAGATCTAGCTTCCTCCACACTTCTCCATATTTAACGCAAAGTTGACACCAGTGCATCACTTGATAATATCGTAGATAAGGTCTTAAATGACTAATCTCAATCAAATAGGAATTATTAATCAAAAATCTTCCCTACTTTCAGTAATGTTTCGATAAAATTAGTTCTTTCCTAATACTCCTTTTAAGGAGTCAAAAATTACCACTGACAAGTAAGAGATTTTAAATACCGAAAGATAAAATATTAAAATAAGTGAAATGGTTTAGACACCGCAGGCATCAAACAGGTGAGATTCCCTGTACTAGAGTATTTTCAAATAGTCTCAACTTCAAACAAAACGATTTTTTCTGAACTCAAACTGATTAAATTGGATCGAATTAATATGAACTATATGAGAATCTTTCCATTTATCGTCTTAGAGGTAGCAGTGGCATCGGTACACACTCCTTCAAAGCCATTCAATATTGGATGCATGGTTTCACCTGCTATCAGCCAAATTTGAGTTGAATTGGGATGATGAGGTGAAAGTACAGTGTCATAACTGTGACGGCTCGCCGAAATTCGAATCCATTTGTCAATTGGTTTGTTATCTGATAAATCATATCCCACCATAGCAAAATATGATGTCCAATTGCTAAATTCTCTGGACTAAATCAGTTCCCGGGAAGATTAACTTTCATGAGTATAAATAGTTTCCAAATTTAATCAATAAGTGACTTGACTTGTCTGCTCAAAGATCTGCATTCCCTCTGGCTTTGGAGTCAGGCTAATCGTGACATTAAAAATAACAGTTTATGCAACTACAAACAAATGTATAGCTTTAAATAACTCCATCTGAACGCATATCTCAAAATATAAAACTTTCTTTAAGTCACGAATCTACATATTGCCATTCAAGATATAGCAAATGTTGGTTTTATAAGACGGACGTTCCCAAATTTCACTTTCTATTCCAGCCAGTAAATATATAAATTAAAAACTTCTGTATACCCAGTGGACAGAATTGTACCTTCGTAAAGACATTTCAATTAAAAGCGTCAAACTACCTGACCGAAGCGACCAATGGACGACCCAAAAACCATAGACATATGAAAAATGTTTTGCTGAGCGGCTCAAAAACTTCTGGCAATACACATAATTGAACTCTGGCGAATATCACAGAATACCTACCCTTGGGACATCGATTTGCTCCAGTAGAAAAAGTGCACTTGCCATCCATGAAACGGAAATTTTCGACGCATTTCAAACAGGAAGCATCACCCGGTCCAGAGCACTCCTCACAGTTCGGCGTGCATCTACATGGAAGGAAATATATTTTTCAATATTAAATATATAATTTTATAAAAGATGAAATGCTCTGTAATTAATTGGATATTCAAAGAAAAGTGGAATTTAATCGCATAAAATTAATTACAGAAATTTTGAAAGGGCTGGCATTGTATTTTTGCGCAAAAAAACTGAGTGCGTTTTTAAAAAAACTTTGCGCTTAAAAATTCAAAGATTAGTCGTTGTTGAAAGATACTTCTTATGCGTGGGGTGATTTGATTTAGAACCAGACATTCATGATTTATTTTATAATCCTCAAAGGACTTGACTGGATATAGAAAAGGGAAAATCGGCACTTTTAACTGAAGTCTTCATGAGGTATTCATAGGCATTGGAGAGACCTAATTTGTTCTACACATTATCTCTGATTTAAAAATGGCCAATAAATCTTGATACTCAATGAACCAATCAATAAATTTTGCATGCAAATATATGCCGAATATGCTCTTAAGTATCTACCAATCGTCAGAACTATAAGGGTAAATAATCTAGTCAGAAAATCAGAAGCTAACTTTTTTGGAGTAATCTGAGCAGCAATTGCTAGCATTTTATATGAAAAATAACTTTTAGTCGTCAATTAATAACAATTTTGGAAATAAAGCGTAAAGATAACATATAAGGCACGCATCATTAGTCCTGTAATCAAATTAGCAAATAGGTAAATGACGCTGGGTAAAAGATGTTACATTTTCATATTATAAATTTGAAAATTTAAACTGTTGATCTTATTTATTTCAATTCTTACATTTTAGAATTATTAAATCTTTGGAAGTCATTATTGATGTACAATGCACACTGCTAGCAATCGTACACAGTCAAGTAGTGAGTACAATTAAAGGAATAGAAAATAACGTCTCACGTAAAGTTAAATTAAAAAATATCCAAAGTGCTCGCAGAAGATTTTAAACAACACCTCGAAAGAGTTTGTAAGCCGTTCAAGGTGGCCAATGTGATAGTCAGTATATTCATCTCGTCTTTACAGCGAAAAATACAATTTAACTAAGATGGCTGCCAATGGCTCAAAAAGTAGATGGTTGGAATGGAGGCCATGAAGGGAAATCGTAAAGAGGGTAATCAAAAATAGTAAAAAAATCAGAGGACAATAATGATAGGACGGCGAAAAAAACGATTTATTGTGAGCTGTGAGTGCGATATTGGCCCTACATCAAAGACACTTCACTTCCTCTTCTCATAGGCTTACCAAGAAAATAGCAATTTGTCAATAGGTTCGCTGTCCAACAAGTCGGGTTTTGAAGTGTCCGCTTAAGAAGGTCAATCTCCTCATGCAAATCGCAAACTGAACAAACCCAATAAATAGAAAGCCACAAAATGTAGCCAACAAAAGTTTGCCCTAACCAGCCTCCTCTTTATGGTGTCGGAACAATTGTGGCATACTTCATAATAGATGGCCTGATTAAGCATTATTTACGCAAATGTATGCTCTGCCAAGTTAGTGGATAATTTGCGGAATTATGCATTCTGATAGTGCTTTGCAACTTCACATAATTAAATAATAAATATACCACTATTGACATTAAGTTATGGCAAACACAACACTCAAACTCCAAAGCAACAATTTGGTGTCTTACAGAGGAATTAAGTTCTTGTCAAATATGATACTCAATCGGTTAGTAAGCCAAATATTCGACCTAAATGTTTATAATGACCCGATCAAATAGTCAATTAATACCCCTATTAAATAATCAATATTACTTTATCCGCCAATTTCAAAAGTTAAGAATCCGTTTGCAATAATTCAAACAAAATAGAATATGGCGCAAATGTCAAAGCTAATTAATTTCGCGCATTAGGATGTAAGTAAAGCAATGTCCTTATCAAGGGAAGATTGGAAGATATGTGGAAAATAATAGGAACTGGGAAATAATTTTTTGAAAGCATGATTTTTGAAAACGCTAATTTAGAAAATGTTTATTGTGAGGAAATGTAAAATTTGGATTATTTTTTTGTTGATTATTGGTTAACGGAAAGCAAAAGGAGCAAAGCCCAAACCAATTTAAACTTCGAGAATCAGGTGAAAGGGATTAAAGTGGAAAATCTCACAATCGATACGTTGGGAGCGACTACATAACATTCAATGAATGGGTAGATCACATTCAAATACTCCACAATTCATGACTTCTCTCTGGATTGAGGAAAATACTTGGTCACAATGCTTAGTGCTCATTAAGAGTTTTGCTTTAATTGCGAATTGTTTGTCTTGTCAATGCGTTTCATTAGTTTATCTCTAATCATTTGAGAGGGTCAAATGACCTCTATGGCATGCAATAATGAGATTACTAAATATATAAAATTTGAGGCATTTTTTGAATAAATGTGGACTCTAATGGCTTCATAAAATTAGAAGTCCGAGTTAATTGCTTCTGACTATCTGAGAAGAAAATACTGACAAACGTTGCGGGCAAAGGCCAACTCAGAAGTCAAATATTGAAAAGAAAAGAATTGCATTAAAATCACATTCAGCCTATTTCGACACCATAAATAATGGAGTAATTATACGTTCTAAACCCCACTCCACTTCGTTCTCCATATTTCCGCAGTATTTAATTATTCATAAACACCAATAGCAGTACCTATAATCTTCCCTCTAATTAGAAGCATACATTAAGCTCTATACCACAACCTTTTCAAATGCTTTAAACTATTTAAAAAAGACCCAATAAATGGCCAACATACTGTTCGCATATCCTGCTTGTCTCGTTGGCATAGTATCGACTGGGACATCGGGGAACACAGGAGCCAACTAGCACCTTTGTTCCGCGCACCGCCGCAGCCGATGCGATCAGTCGAGCAATAGAAGGGTTTGTGAAGGACGTTGGTTTATTGGGACTAAGGAATGGTGCTAGATACGTATCTCCCGAGCATGATGTACAGTCGTATTCAGAACCCGGACGTAGACACTCTGCACAGGTGAGTGAGCACATTTCACAACGCAACGCCTCCTTCACGTAGTTAGGTGAGATTTCGGCACCGATTACAGCCCGTATTGAGCTGATTAAGGCTGTTGTGCCCGAAGGGCAGGCTGCAACACATTGGCTACAAACAAAGAATAAGTATAAAGCACTCAATGAAGTACACAGAGCTATTCAGGAAGATGATTCACTTGCTTGATTTTTAAAAGTACCATTTATAACAATTAGTTTAATTTAGCATGCAGTAATCATCAATATCCTCCCAATGAAAGAATATTTCGCTATTTTCAAGTGCCAATGAATTTGACGTTTAAACAGGATATTGTCTACTTTAAGGTAATCACTCAAAATGCAGATCAAACATTTGTTATTTTTAAGAAATCAAATAGGTTATATTTACTTCCAAAATTTGCAATAAACCATGATTGATCTATAGGGAATTCATAGCATTATATTTGAATAGAAAAGCGCATATCACACAACACTACAGATGGATCAAACTTAAAGTACAAAATAAGAGCACCAATAAGAAATCGAACATTTTGCAGACGGATATTTTGTTTTGGACAGAGGAAGACAACTCAGAAGTAAACTCATCTTACTACGGGTATTGAAAAAGTCGCATTCCCCAAAGGAAGCAGAGAGCACGTGAGGGTGCGTTTATTTGTTAAGGGTTTGAACACCTCCGGGGCGCTACAAAGACCATAGCAGAAATGTATGGCCAAGTGCTTACAGTACACCAATGTTGATTTTGGTTTAAAAAGAAGGAATTTAAGAGTTGCACAAAAGACCAGGACGACTACAAATTTCGACGACGAGATGGTCAAATTCTCTTATTGAATCGAGTTCGGGGAATTTAAGAGGAGAATTTGAGAACCACTGCATCAATTCACTTAACATGGTACCGATGAGAGGTGAAACACATATTTCCTTGTTTTCGAGGAGAAATCGAAATCTCCCCTATTAAATATTAAAATTGTGAAGTATTTTGAGATTCCGAAATATTCTTACTCATTAAGATAGCCGTACACACTACACCTTCGTTCCTACCTATCAACTTTAATATATAAATTCACGTATACATTTGTGTCAAAATGTCAAGTTGAATACGCTCATTAACTGATCATAATTATCTGGACTCAACTGGACACCCAATATCTAGCTTGGAAGTACATCTTATGGGAAAATGACTTAGAACCAAGTTAGTTAGACCAGTAAATCCTATTATATTCCAAATTTCAAAAATAAACTCACTCATATTTGTTATTACTACTAATAGCGTTAATAGACTACCAAAAGACTATTTCATTTAAAACAAACACGAACAGGACGGATGAGGCTAAATGATCTGATTAATTTTCCGGTTGTCAAACTATTCCCAACCTGCAGAAGGGAAGCTTACATAAACATTCTGTTTTGACAGAGGAATGAAATTGCAATATAACCGACCCCTGCTTGGTTTTAGACCGATGCGGTTAAGAGCATAAGGCAAGCGGCTGTAGAAAAGTTTTACTGGAATGGCTCAGAAGGATTAAATGAAGGTATTTCAGAAACTTCAAATTGCAATCAATTGCAATGCAATGTAATAATGGCTGCAGTTAATGAAAAACCTAAAGAGATGTGGGCGACAGAAAATGAAATATCGAATAAAGTAAAACCAGGAGGTTCAGAACTAACCCGCTCTCAGTGACGAAATTCTTGCAACTCTTGACGCATTGACTTGCTGAAGGTCCCCAGCAGTCATTCATGGCGCATTGACTGTGACACTGAAAGATAAATGATAATTCCACAAAAAAAACAATAAAATTTAGTGAATTTAGCTGGGCATTTCGTTAGTGTTTTTATTAATACTAAATTAAGTAGAAGGAGAAAAGTGAAGTTTCAAAGTGAAATTCAATAATGAAGAAACTTGATTAACAAGGCAATGGGAAAGTCGTAAATTTTAACTCCCAGTAAAACTATCGCAGATGCGGGTGGGAAAAAAAAGGCCTTTAGAAATTAAATTTTCAATTCAGCCAAATTACAGGAAAACAAAATTAGAGAGGGATTGTGCTCAATACCGAACAGTAAGGATTATCCCCGTAGGATGTCAAATAACATGGATTTGATGGCTAGCGGTGCACTGGGTTTCTCAACAATTAATCCTCAACATGGTAGTCCCTTAACAGGGTTGAATTTTGCTAAATTAACCTCCCCGAGTAGATTTAGGCATGAAAGAAAGATTCAGCTACCATTTGATTTGTTGTGATTATATGGGAAAAGGCATTCTCTTTTATGCACAAGCAATTGGACTCGATAGGCGGGTTAATATTGTATCCAACGACTTAGGGGAGACCTGATTTGTTGAAAATGATTGAGATGTGCATTACACATGCAGAAAACGATCGAAGTGAAAATTTAATCGCAGTGAAGATTGGGCTTCTATATGAATTAACACTTTATCAGAGCGAAAGTAGGCGAAATGAATTGGATTGGGCACGAATATCAAATCTTTCCCATTTTTAATTCATTCCATCCAAATTAAAATTGAGCAGTCTAAAAAATGATATCAAAATCTATGCATTTCAAAATGTCAAATATTTTATTCCTAACAAGTATTCAAACAATTTTCATTTATCAGAAGGAGCAACTATTTTTCAGTTAAAATATATATATATATTTAATAGTATTAATTGCTATATATAAAAGTAAACATACAAAAAATTATAATTAAAAAAGAACTACTCACCGAATATCCCGCGGGAGGAAGAGAAAGATCAGATACCACATATTGGGCGAACCGTTCGAACCAAGCCTAAATAATAACAATAATAACCGTGTTTTAATCACATGCATCTTCAAGTTCTCCGATAGGAAGAGACGGTAAAAATTAGCATTTCTAGTTTTAAAAACCACTTGCAATGCGAATAACATTTTTCCCTTCAACAGTTTACAACAGTTTACCGACACATTCAGCAAAAAGCCAAAGAACACCGCACGGCACAAGTGAGAAAACATTCTCTCTTCGTAAATATCAAACAAAATAAAAAAACATTAACTTAGGGAGAGGAACGGTACCTATTAGTGTTAAGCGAGATTCGATATTTAAATAAATGTTAAGTGATTAATTCAGATAATACGTTTAATAGAATTTTGTGTAACACAGTACTGAATAGAATATTAAGTAGTATAAAATAGCTCACAGAAGGTGGAGGCTTTTCCTTATTGGGAGATCTCAGACGAATGGGAAAAGTTTCAGTGCCATAAGCGATCATATAGACTGAATCCCAATGACCCTTGGATTTCTGAAAAAAGTCTTCTTTGATAGTTCGCCATTGAAGGAACCCATCGATACCCTCCAAGTTATCGATTATGACTTTCCATTCCCCAGCACACGGCTCCCCCCAGAATTGAACGCTCATCAGTGGCCATCGATCGATTCCATTGAATTTTGATAGCATGTCGGTGAGTCGAACTGGCATCAACTCTGATTTAGTGCCTGAAATTTTGAAATTGTTTAATCACAATTGGCAGCTGCTTAATCGATAACTGCTAAAAATGGATGAAATCAATATGACATTATAATGCAATGCGGTTTGACCAAAACCCCCACAATGAAGTAATAAAGTAATGAGTTAAAGTTCTTTACGATTATCCGTATTCTGATATTTTTCTCGATGAAAAAAATATTGAATTATGTTTGCGAGCTGTTGCATGTCAGTAAGCAGGTAAGATTAGATACTAAAATTGGAAAATTATTATGCTGAAATAGTTCAAGGCATATTTTGTGCGAATTTAGTAAAAAAGACCGACATGACAGCTCACCTTCTGAACATCCGATCTGCTTTTAACGACTCAACAAAATGGATTTAATAATCATATTTACCCATAACAGTCAATTGGTATTGCATTACTTTGCATTCATCGTACTTAGCATTTTACTAAATATCTTAGTTAATAAATAATTAAAGCGAGTTCTACTTAGTGACAAGGAAAACTTTCAGCAGTGTGACCACAAAATGATTTTTTTAAAAAAAGTTTGGAATTCATTGGCCAAAAAGTAGAATTACTGCTAGGAAAAAAATGTTACCTTTCTCATTAATGAGCGGCTGAATATCATGGAAGATAATTTTGCCCTCTCAAATATTCAGAGGAAATACCAAAAAATTCCCAATTTAAGCAAGACCCTCAATGAGTATTAAACATTGTGAGCGAATATTTGTTGCTATTCGGGGACGGGGTATGATATGTTGAGTTTTTGAATGTGAACTACCAACTTGCTGAATGTTGAACAATCGGAATTCAAAATTCAACTGAGATGTGACGCTCTCAGCACCTTGTAGTCTCACTCCTCTGATTGTGTTTGACTTTCCACTCTAACCACTTTCAGTTGATTGTCAAAATTAAAATCAGGAAATTTTTTTCATTAATGTAAGTATTGGCACCAGCACAGTAAATTCACTAATTAAAAGCTGAAATAGAAAATTTATTTGTGATAAGAATTGAAAGCCGACAAACTTAATCACCACATTTTAGACAAAACGGAGAAGATAGGTATCACAAGCTCTGCTTGAAATTATCAAGTCATTAGAGAAGAACCTCACCTCAACACTTATTTCTATTTTCATTAATTGGGTTTTAATTGCTGTCAATTTTATTCTATACCTACACCTTGTCATTATTCCCTAAAGTTGCCTATCTAACTTGTGCTTATCCGGATTTAATCTGTTATTTTATGTAACTTTAATTGGCTAGTTAAGTTGCGTCCAATGCATAAATCTAGTTTATACTCGTTGTCTCTTCACACGAAGTGAACTTTACAGAAATGTAGAAAATCAATGGCTTATATATATATATATATATATATATATATATCAACGAGCCCTGGCCACTTCTTTCACAGACAAATGATCAGGTGCTTGCGTTGGCTCACAATCATAGAACACCACCGATTGCCAAATCGCAAATACTTGTGAAGCATATCAAGCCACCATATTCAAATACCAATGATTCGCAAGGTCAATCCCGAGATCTGGTTACACTTTGCGCTTTTACTAAAGAAACCAGCTAGTAAGCTAGTATAGGGAAGTATACAGAGGCAAACATCTGTGTACCTCTTGCATAAATTTCTTACTTGCATACTCGCAATTCCATATATCACTTTCATAAATTTAGCGCTACAATGAGGAGCT